AAGCTGTAACCCATGTGTGTATGTTTACATATATATGAGGGAGTCAGAGTCTTTAAAATTCCAGGAGTCAGAGTTGGTCAATTTCCCTACCAACTCCACAACCCTGATAACAATACACTATATAAGATTACTGCCGCCCGGATGGTACAGTGGATTGCCACACCAAAGGGCCTAAATTCGAATCCTGGAGAAGTCATGGATGTTTGTACGCACATAGCATCTGTTTGGCACTCAAAATACATGGCAAGCCGAAATGTTCTAGAGAGGTTAGAGGTAAGAAAGGAAGATGGGTAAGAGACCCTTTTTCCAACCCCTTAGTGTTCTCCCTCAGAATTCCATCCAGGGCAGAAGCTTAGCAGTCAGCAAGGCCCTAAAAATTGCAATAGTTAATAAATCATAATAAAAAGATTATTTTAGAAACCTAAGGAAGGAAACAAAAACTACACTAAATGGGGGAAAAATAAATAAAGGTTAAAAAGGTTACAACCCAAAAGCTTAAAAAAATCTGAAAGCTTTCAGATTTTACATTATGCCCAAAGGGACTTTTTTAAACCTTTGTGTTACCTTTATTTATTAAATGTTCTTTGCACTTAAACCATAAAATTCAATTCAACAGCAATATTGCAAAATAATTTCTAAATGAGCATATCTTTAAAATTTCCAATACACAGTCTCGCATGATGGAGACAAAAATGTTTTTTTTTGTTTTGTTTTGTTTTTCCCGTACAGTTTTGCCGTTGCTTGCTTTGAAATCATTGAGTTTGTTAATCAAAAATTCATTGAAGTGTTACAAAATATGAAACTGATAATAAAACAAATTTCAAATTAGGGTTTCCAGATATTCATATTCAGTGGAAGATTACATTATTCAAAATTTGATGGCTCTAGGTACCCTTGTTTTATCACAATGCAAGAAAAATACATACATTTATGCAGATTCTTCATTATTTAATATCTTTAAATATAACACAGAGCGATAATATTTGGTGGCAACAATTTGAAAAGTAAACCGACATTTAAAGTTTTCAAAGCAAAATGCCAAATCGAAATTAATAGCCCTTCTGGGCTAATGCCCTTTGGGCTAAGAAGAGGTTTAATATCACAAAAAATGCAAGAAGTTTTGCAGCCTCTTTCTCTATACATATATATTTTATTATTTTAAGAAAGGTTTTCATGACATAGATTTATTTTAGCCAACATATTTTTGTCTATGTTAAAACCTGTTTTATATTCCTACTATTTCATCTGTTCCCACCAGAATATGCAAATGACTGAAGTTTTAAATTAAATACGAGCCTTAATTAAAAGATGTAGGGATTAGCATTGCCCATCATTTTAAAACCAATTCCTGTGTGTTTTAATGCTGGTGGATCACTACCAAGTGAGTGAGCTCCCACACATCATAAAACTTGATGGTTCAAATTAAAGAAATAGCATTATAAAATACCTTGTATATTCCCTACCAATAACTGGACAAATAATCTGAAAAGTTAAATTAATAAATTATACAACTTTAGATCTAACATCCAGTTATTTTAAATCATGAATAGGTCTGAGGATATCAGCAAATTAGCTTTTATAACTAAATGTGAAGCATGCGCTTTCCTTAAAATGCTATCTGAACGCTGTGGAGCTCCAGGTACACTTCAGCAGGCCACAGACCCCAAGCTAAGACACCAGTATTATGCATATGCACTTTAATTTACAATAAAGATATTATTATAATGAATAACACGATTGTCATTTCAAGGATTAAGAAGTTTTTACATTATTACAAGATGTGAGCTTAAAGCTGAATGTCTGAAAATGCAGATCTGTAGTGAAAGAGCTTTGGTAGTTATGGTATTGGTTCTATTCCACAATTCAAAACCTTTCAAAAGATGCATGTTAGAAAATAAAATTATTGTGCTGGATTGACCTAGAAATTCACTAGATTTAAATCCAACTGAAAACTTGCGGCACATTCTCAAGGAACACCTTAGCAAACGGATTGTACAGTGAAAGAAAACATGATTAAGAGCACTATAAAAGTGTTGTTCAATGACAAAGAACTAAAAAATAAGTACTTTATTGCTGGCGCAAGTGATAAAGTCGCTGAAAACGGTACAAGCGATGCCAACGGAATATCCTCTCTGGTAACCTTTTACGCCTCATTTTCAAAATAAGTCGCAGCCATTTCTTATCAGATTAATTGTTTCTTTCAATACTGGCATAAACGTACATAGAATTTTTATCAGATAGTTCAATTTTATGCTCTACGGCCATTCGCAGTAATAAAGTCAATTAGGATGCAATCACACTGCTCACCCGAAGGCGAAAATACAGAAAAGGCAAAGTCAAGGGTTAAATTCATCAATTCTAATGAGAATGCACTAATTCATCAATTCTAATGAATTCTAATGAGAATGAATTACTTCGCTCGTGCATTACTAGATTACTGCGGTTTTACATAATTTCAGAGTAAGCTTTTCAATTTGAATTGAAATAATTCTTGCATTTAAACTTGTATTCCAAATTGAAATTAATGTAGATAATTACTGAGAGAATTAGATTTTTGTAGTGTAGTTTGCGTGATATGAGATCACTTGGAATCACATGATATAAACTGGCGAAACAGGATGTTGTACCATGAAAGCATAGTAAATTCTTAAATTTCTTTCATTTTGCAAATTTATTGTCTTTATTTATTGCCTTTTTTACAAAATTTTAAATATTAAAATGTTTATGCCTTCAAAATAAAAAATCCTCAGAACTAACATTTGTTAACATATTTTACGTGTATACCGTGCGTTGTCATCAATAAAGTCTGCTTGGCGAGATTTGCGCCGGCGAAACGGAAAAGTATAAAAAAATATATACATCAGACTTGTAGAGTCAATACCTAAGTGCATTCTAGAGATCATTTCTGCTAAAGGGAGGCATATTGCCTACTCATTTTATTATCCCTATTCATGAAGGTATGTAAATAAATTATCAAAAAATGGCTTTATGCAAATTAATTTGCATATTATATAGTATTTATTTGTCCTTTAGTGGAATGAAAGTTTATAAGATTTCTATGTTTGGGAAGGACAGTCATTCCTTTCTTTGCCAGAAAATTTGCACTTTCATTTCACTATACTCTACAATGCACTATCACACACTATAGCACAGTTAAGTCGTTAAGAGTGTTAAAAAAGTGTCTGCACTCACAGATATATTTTGAGTAGCAAGTTTTAATCTTGGAAAGAACCTGAAGGGCAGATCTAGTCCGGCTTAGGGTAAAAAGATCCTACGACAGCAGAGCTGTCACAAGACCATATGAATTGCCTCTAATTCCCCATCAACAATCCATTAATCTAAAATTAATCATCAAGCTGGTAGTAAAGGAAGAGAATAAAAAACTCTTAGACTCCATTTCTCAGAATAATTTAGTTAAAATTGAACTGAAAAATGCTCTTAATGGGATGAAGCTTGGCAGAGCTCTTGTATGGTATACTACAATTAAATATGCTCTAGTTTTAATGCACTTTATTGCTGATGGCATTCAGAGTAAATAATAATGTATGTTATTTTAAAAGAATGTAATTAAATAAAGACTCAAAATTTAAAAAAAACATCCATGAGTAAACCAGATGAGAAAATTTTGGATCAAAGATTATTTTACCAGCTGTTAACACTTTATAGATTCTTTTTTTGGTACAACTCTAATATACGCCCTAATTTCACCAAATGTGGCGATATGTGTTCTTCACTGGTTTTTGGCGCGATTGCGTGTTCTATGGCAACCCTGTTGACGTTGAAAAATCTTTCGCTGGAGCTCGTTAATTCGCCTCTGTGTCTGAGAAGATGGGAGGGAAAGATAAAATGGTAGTTGTTGAATTGAAGTTCAGCAAAAGGAAATATCATTGTGGCTGTCCTGTTGAGGGGTAATGGCTGTATTTGGAGGTGTGGAAAGAGAGGTTTGGGAGATTATTTTTAATGGCTGTGCATGATACAAGTAGGGATTTGTGATTTATTTTACCATTTTTTTTTTTATTTGTGAACCGTATTTTCTGGAGTATGTCTGGCTGTCATGTAAATACGATAGTGATTACGTGGCGGCATGTTAAAGGCGGTATGAAATTTATATTTCTGCTATTCGAAAACGCATTAATTCATAGTAAGTGCATTTTATTTTATCCTTGTTCTTATTTTGTAGAATGTTATGTTCGTTGGTTCTTAGTATGAATTTCTGTCATTATTGTTGTTTTTTTAAATTGTTTGAAATTTATTTTAGTTTATTTTGTTGTTTAGTGTCTAGACTGTGCAATTCGTATATGTTTTTTTAAATTTTTGAAATTTATTTTAGTTTATTGTTTTGTTTAGTGTCTAGATGTCAATTCGTATATGTTTTTTAAAGTTGAAACAGAATGCTGTGTACATCGTATTATTTGAAATTTATTGTTGTTACGTTATTTTATTAAAGCGAGGAGTGCGTAGATCGTAGATTCCTTCCTTGCTTAAATTGTGCAATTCGTAGAATTTTTTTTAAGTTTAAACAGGATGCTGTGTACATGGTATTCTTTGAAATTTATTGTTGTTGTGTTAATTTATTAAAGCGAGGTGTGCGTAGTTTGTAGATTCGTTCGTTGCCTACATTGTGCCATTCGTAGATGTTTTTTTAAAGTTAAAACATGTCGCTGTGTACATCATGGATTCGTGTCAAATATTTTTGGTTAGAAACTTTACGTTTTTGCTATCTAAATTTTTTGTTTTTGTTTCGGATTTTTAGCTAAATTGTGTGTTCAAAATGTAGTTTTTGCATGTGCGAAAACCGCGTTTTTGGAGACATTTTAGGCTAATAGTTCGAAATGTAGACAAAAAATTTAGATAGTAATATGGCTAAAGTAGTAAAGTTTCTCGCCAAAAATATTTGGCGACTTGAGGGCGCATATCAGAGTAGTTCCCTTTTTTTAAATTCTGACGCTGTTCTGGGTTAGAAATCTATAATTTACGTATTAAAATTTTAAAGAACTTACTGTACATTGTGAATATGTTGAACAACTTGATTAAAATTTAATCTTGAACCCACAGATCGTGAAATAACAAGTAAAGACAACATCATTAACCTATTAAAAAGAATGTATATATATATACATATAATAGATCTGCACTGGACAATAATTAGTAACAATTCAAATTATTGAAACACAATACAAATTGCAATAAACAATAACTAAGTTATTTCTATAATTTCTACTTTGTACTAAATGTAACTCTATTGCACAAGAAAAAAGTATATGATATGTTGCAAATGGCATCTTTCGACTTGCCAAGCTGCATGACTTAAAGACCGACATCGCCTGATGAACTATTGTGTTTAATACCTTTAAAATGTAACAGTGAGATGTAATTTCCTAAGTAATCACATGTAGGCAAAAAATTTTTGTATGTTCAATGTAGGTTTTCAAGTAATTAAATTGTGTTTTGTTACGTGTCATACTATTTCTTCGTTTTAGGAGTTGCCAAAGTAACATTGTGTAGACATTATTTATTGTATTACTTTTTCAGAGAAGTCTTCATTGTGAGAGGACAACATAAGATATTTTAGTGCCTATAAGTAGGGCGAATTCAATAACTAGTGACAGTAATTATAAAGGATAATGGATGTAACACTTTCGAAAATTGTTGAGAGCAGCGTTTACAGCGCATGTAAACAAAACAGAAGATGAGTTACTTAAAGAAGTCCTCAATGTGAAAGGAACTTCCGTTTTGGAGTTTTAGCTAATGGTTAAATTTACATGTTTAGAAGAATGCCAAAGAGAGCTATCTACAGATATTTTAAAAAGTAAAGATAATGAAAAAGAATCTGAAGAAGATTTTGAATCTGCTGAAATTTATCCTGATAAACTTCTGAATTGTGTTTCAGAATTGAACAATTATAAAGCAAGAAAACCATATCAAATGCTAAATTATCTAAGAAATTATTTCTGAAAAAAGATAGTCAAGTTATAGAAGACTGAACTGAAGAAATTTAGTGGGGATGCAAAAGAATATTTGGATTTTTGAACTCATTTTTCCAAGATTCATGAAGATGATAGTATTCCTGAAGAGGATAAATTTTAGTATTTGCTTCAAGCAGTAATCCCAAATTCAAAAGCAGCGAGAGTGGTTGAAAGTTTCTGTGAATTATCCAAAAGTTATCAGTCAACTCCAGGAATGTTTCAGATGAGAGGATTTGCTTGTTCAAATTTACATGCGAGATTTGGGTATGGTCATGAAAAATGCTGCTTCTGGATATTTGAAAGCAGACCTATTGGTGTTGTATGATGAATTAGAAGGAAAAATACAAGCGCTAGAAAGTCTGGGAAGAACAGAGGGAAAATATGGTGATTTTTTAACCTCTCTAGTGGAATTACGCTTGCCCAAAGAAACTCTGATTGCTTGGGAAAGAAGAAGAAATTTAAGTGAAACAAGCAAATTAAAAGAATATTCCTTAAAAAAATTGATGAATTTCACGAGAGAAGTTTAAAATAAAGAAATGATTGAACTTGCTTGTTCACATTTTAGCATTAATTTAGTTAGTACGAAAAGAGTGTGTGTTGATAAACCGCCTGTTGAATCCCCTACTGCAGTAGCTTTAGTAAGCACCTCTTGTAACAGTTCAGCGAAATTCAAACTGTCTTTTTTGTGAGAAAATACATCCTACTAAAGATGGTTTTGCTGCTAGAAGTATGAATTTAGATGCTAAAAGGAAAATTTTGATGAGAAAAATGGCTTGCTTTATATGTTTTCATAGTGGTCATTTGGCAAAATTTTGTAAAATAAAAAATATCCGTTTTGGTTGATCTTTACAATATGGTAACTGGTAGTTTGGCGACATTTTGGAGGCGATAAAAGTTACTACCTGGGACTTTGGTAATAATGTGAGCTACGCATTATTTTGTATGAGGGAAATGAGAGATCATGGGATATGTCATGTGATATTAATGGACGAATTACGGTTCTTTAATCGGAAAAGGGGGGAAATCGGGAAAAAAACGGGAAATTTTGTATTTGGCTTTATTCTGTGTTGTGTGAAACAGTGTTTGTGAATTTTTGGATCCCATGGCCGTAACTAAAGTGAATTCGAAATGGGTATTTAGTGGTATTGAAAAGGGTAGTAATAAATGTTTCTTTAAGGTTGTGCAAGATAGAAATAAAGATGTTTTATTAAGTTATTTATTTTACCTGGTACCTTGCTGTGAAATATAAGTATGATTTTAAAGATCCTGAAACAGAAAGAAGAAAAGTTTATCGGACACGTAATCAAGATTCTGAAGAAGATTAGGTAATTTAGTATTTTTAATTATTTGAGGATATTATTTTTATGCATTGTTCTAAATGTAAGGTGGAAGTAAAGGAATTTGGTATTATTGGGAAAAAATGTTATTAGCAATGATTTAGTTTAAAGTAATTAGGATTGTAAGGTAATTTTTATTAATTTAATGTATGTGCTCATTTATATTTAAGTAGTGTTTTTGAATTTAATTATATTTTAATGAAATGATAGTTATTTTGTGAATTTTATGTTTGTAGGAATTTGGTATACGTTTTAGTTGAAGTAAACGTGCATGGAAATAATTTAAATATCTGACACTAAGTATTTGTAATGGTTGCGGTATGAATTCGTTGGTGACGTTTATAATATAATAGATGATTTAGAGGTAAAAGTTTTTGGATATTTTATTTATTTTATATGTGGAAATGGTAAATACTTTTTCGCGATCAGGTAATTTCATATATGTTCTTTTTACCGGGTTTAAAGATTGAGAAAATTGTCATGTATTTTCGTGAAATTTTTCTAATTTATGAGAAAAAAGCAGTGTACATGGATATAGTGAAGAGTGTGCACAATGCCAATTTTGTGCAATTCTGGGATGTTTTTTTAAGTAAAAATAAGTCGACGTGTACATGGTTTAGTGATATTTTAATTAAATGATAGTTATTTTGTGAATTTTATGTTTGTAGGAATTTGGTATACGTTTAAGTTGAAGTAAACGTGCAAGGAAATAATTTAAATATTTGATACTAAGTATTTGTAATGCTTGCGGTATTATGAATTCGTTGGTGACGTGTATAATGTAATAGATGATTTAGAGGGTAAAAGTTTTTGGATATTTATTTATTTTATATATGGAAATGTTCATATTTGGAAAGGGTAAATACTTTTTCGCGATTAGGTAATTTCATATATGTTCTTTTTACCGGGTTTAAAGATTGAGAAAATTGTCATGTATTTTCGTGAAATTTTTCCAATTTATGAGAAAAAAGCAGTGTACATGGATATAGTGAAGAGTGTGCGCAATGCCATTTTTGTGCAATTCTGGGATTTTTTTTAAGTAAAAATAAGTCGGTGTGTACATGGTTTATGTGTATGTGTTATTTTGAAAAAAACGCGTAAGGAGTATGGTATTGTGCACTTTTTCCCAATTTTGCAGTGAATATTTGTCATGATTAAGCAGTTTTGTTAGATAAAATTTCTAGCATAAGTGTAATTCGGCTAGTAGATTGTTGGAAGAAGTGTTCAGTAGATAAAAAGAAAAGAAACATGTCTTTACTTCGTGAAGACAAAATGGCGGCGGGGAAAAAAAATAGAGGGTTGCTGTAGGAGAGTTGGTCGCCAAATTTTCGCCAAGTTACCATAATGTAAAGGATCAACCTTTGTTTTTGTTGTAACTCCAAAACTCATAACAGTCTTATGTGTGCTCACCGTAAAAATAATAAAGGATAAAACATGTCAGAAATGCTTGAAAGTGAAGAAAAATGTGAATCAGTTCTGACTAATGCATTAACTAATATGTATAGAAATGAAACTGTATGTTTAATGACTTTACATGGAAAAGCTAAATCAAGTAATAGAGAAGCAATGTTAAGGTGCATCATTGATACCCGATCTATATATTCTTATATTAGCAAATATACGAATGTGGTACATATATTAAAGCCACAGCAAAAAGTCATGATGATGCATAGCTTGTTTGGGGAGGGGAGAGAAATGGAACAAACAGAATATAGTGCTTATAATTTGTCAATTTGCTCTTTAAGTGAGGAATCATTCTCCTTTCAAACAGAATCATTTTCAGAAGAAAAAATTTGCAAGTGTGCAAGGTCACTGATACATGTGTTTTGAATTAATTGAAAGTGAAAGGAATTAATATCAGATCCAACATTGCCGGACACCGAAACTAGGAGCCAATGCAATTGACACTATTCTCACAGAGCAGTTTATGAAATTGAACTGAGGTTTGTATTTGCTAAATACTTGCTTAGGAAATATAACACTTCTTAAACTGAGATCTGATTTGTGATGTTACAACTTTGCAAGTGAATAACTTATCAGTTAATGAATTATGAAGGTTAGAAACTGTTACGATTTCAGACCCTGTTGCAAATAAAAAGAAAAGCATGGAACATATTAGGTTAGAGAATTTTAAAAATAGTCTAAAGTCTTACCAAGAGTCCAATTGTCCTTAAGAGGCATATTTACGTTACAAAAGGAAGCAAAATATAGGGATTATTGTCTAAACTACGAGATGGTTGTCCTTATGGAGGGAAAATTTAAAGGTGCAGTTGATTCCAAATTAGATTACTCAGTGTTATACAGTTCAGAACATATATTTTCATTACAGAAAATATCATTCCATTTCCCCATATTATAATGCATACCTTCCTTTAAAGGAAAAATTTGAGATTTCAAATACTGATTTTAATTTATCATAACAAAATAATAACTTATTTTATCATAACTTTTTGATTTATTACCTTATTATTAATCATAACTTATTTTGTTATGATAAATTATGATAACTTCATAAAGTGGTAAAAAGATTCCATTCTATTTTTAAATTATGTTATAAAATTCCTCCATATTTGTTATCTTACAGAAATTTAACTTTTTTCACTTTATAAAGTTTCCATCTCTCTCTCTTTTTAATGCATCTGAAATCTTTTTCATAGATTTCATGAACTTATTTTCTTAAATTTAAAAATATTCATGGCTATGGAAGAATATCTTGAAAATGACAAACGAAGAAACATCCTGCAAATGTAGCAGTAAATAGAAATATTACTTACTCTCGTATTGTTT